ATCTATAGATTATTAGTTGTATAGTTCATAGGTGTAAATAAGGAGGAGGATCAAATACATATATTAGAATATACATACAATATCAACGCCCCTAAAAATCTTGTAGATACTAATTAAAAGTCCCTCTTATTGGACAAATTTAACATCTCTAACTCTAATCCTAATGGCTAATATTAATGAGTAATGACAAAATTCTTCATTGTGGAAGAATAGCTACCTTATATGTACTGGTCCACATCAACTATGTTTCAGTTATGTCTATTATATAGTTTCCTCTTAGTATATTATACAAGAAAAGTTTTTGATAACAAGTTGTTGGATTTAATATGTGATAAGCGATATTCTTGTTTAAACTATTTTATATTCTGAGAGTAGTAAATGAATGTATGTATATCACATTTATAATGTTGTTTTTTTCTGTTCGACATCAACATTTTGCATAATAAACAATAAAAATACTCCTATTTTCCACATCGKCATCTTTTCAAGCGGTTTGAAAAACAACAAAAAAATAAAACAAAAAATTGTTTTCAAAACCAATTTTTGAAAAAATCAATTTAATTTTTTTGGTGTAGGTACCTAATTTAAAAACTAATAACTGAAAACTACTGATATTTTTACAAATATTTGTGTTAGCATTTTCCATAAATGGTAACATTAAAAATCGAAATGTTTTGACTTTTTTTACTATTTACCTATTTATAGCCATAAAAAACTTTTCGAATTCCTGACAAATTATTGTCAATAAAAACTTTTTAGACCCTCACAAGATGCTTTAATAGTTGACAATAATTATTAAAAATATAAAGACACTATTACTTTTTATATCCATTTAGTAATTTTTTTACAAAATTCATCAAAATCCAAACAATTTGCAAATTATTTTTCAGTTAGAAAAGGTTATAMGTTTTCATTTTCATAGCTACCATAAGAAATATGAACAGAAAATTCCCAACAAGTTTTCCCACCTCTATCAACAAAAAAAAGTTAGCCGGACAGTTACGCTATTTATAGCCATCAGGTATGTTCGATATTTATAATTTTAGATTCTGAACGAAGTGATGAATGTATTGATTTTACAATGCAATATTAAGCGTTTATATTTCAAATTTTTACGAAAACGCGTTGAAAAATCATAAAATTGTTTGTGTTTATAACTAAGGATTAAAAATACAACACTAAGTTTTTCAAAAGTTTTCCTTCAAGTAGCTATAGAGAAAACTTGAAGCATCATTATAGGAAAAATTTTAAATGCGTTTGAATTTTAAATTTTTATGAAATAGCGTWACGATAACGATTTATCCCCAAACGATTTTAAATATTTGTTATTATTCAAAAAGTATAAGTCATAGATACTTAAACATTTTACCAGTTATTTA